ATATATTATTATAATATATATATTATAATATTATAATAAATATATATATAATATTATATAATATTTTATATTTATTTATATTTTTTATAATATTTTATATTATATTATATAATATAAAATATTAGAAAAAAATAATTTGACATGCGTAGTAACCGACATTACTTTTTGGTCCCCTTAATATATATTAGGTCTACCGTCAAATTCTGTCCGTTTAAACAAACGTTAGTTCAATTTTTCGTCACTAGGGGTATTTTTTCGTCGTAAGGCCCCATTTTTTAAAATGGAATATACAAATTGCTACCATGTTGGCAAAAATTCAATAGTAATTCAATTAATTGTTCAAATTATGAATAATTTATTATTTTATTTTATTTACAAAATGGACAGAATTTTTCAGTAGACCTATATATATATATATATATATAAAAAGGGAAAAACATGTTTGGATAAAAAAAAGGGACGAATGTAAAAAATGTCTCCCACCATGCTCATAAACGATGATCAACTGTTTCTAATTCTTTTTACACAAATGATATATATATACATATATATTTATATCTATATATATATATGTATGTATATATCTATATATTATATACATTTAGTGCGAATTAGTTAGTATGTATTGATTTGTTGTAAAACTTTACTGGATATATGATATTATACATGTAAAAACATTCGAAGTTTAAATTGGCTTCCTAGTTAGGGAATCTATCGAATCTTAGGATTATTATTATTATTATTATTATCATTATCATTATTATTATTATTATTATATGCATTAAACGAAATGCAAAAGAAGTAAAAAAAAAAACAAAACAAAATAAAAATAAAAATGACAAAAAAGATAATATTGTATACAACTAATAAGAAATAATATTAGTAGGCTGTATATAGTGGTGTATGGTAGAAACAAAAACAAAAATACAGTTTAAATTTAAGTGTCGATCGTCTGCTTAAGAAAAAAGCCAGTCAAATAAATTGTATCTAAAAAAAAAAAAAAAAAAACAGAGGGAATGCAAAAAAATGAAAACTAAACAAACGAGAAAAATCGAATGACCATTATTATCATTAACAAACATTCAAATGTCGCAAAAAAAGTTATTTCGCATTACTGTAAAAGGGTCCTAGGGGATAAATCATTTTGTTGAAAAAGAATTAACAATCTTTTTCTATTAAAATGAATTATCATAACAAATTCTCATCATCATTCTTCTTCTTCTTCTTCTTCTTCTGGTTCTTCTTCAAAATATCATTCTTTTTTATATTTGTCTGTATAAATCACTAAACGATGGCGTGGAAAACAGGGTATTATATCAAAATGACGAACGTCAGTAATCGATTATTAGAAAAAAAAAGAAAAAGAAAAAAAAAAATCATTCTAGTAAATTATAGTATCATATATTATGTGAGTTTACATAACATATTTGTTACTGTAAAAAAAAAAAAAAAAACAAACCAAAAACCAAAAACAAAAAAAAACGAAACTTTATAATACCTTTCAGTTTCCTTGACACACACACATGTGATCACATTTATTAGAATATTAATTTGAAAGACGTTTCTCATCGTAAAAGAAAAACAAGAAAAAAAGATTTAAAAAAAAAAAAAAAGAAAAGAAAAAAAAAAAAAAGAAACTGTAAAAGGGTTCTTTCTTAATCAGGCTATCGAATAATCGTTGAATGTAATAATAAAACTATTAAACCAAATAAAGTCTCAAAGCTTACACCTCGCAGGACACGCAGCCTCTGCCAATGAATTGTAATCGTAAGGACATTAATACATAACGTGAAAAGAAGAAAAAAGAAAAAAGAAAAAAGAAAAAAAAAAAACAACAAAATAGACTAAATGATTTGTAATTAATTATTTAGAAGAAGAAGGGTATGAGGGGTAGGGTATGGGGGGAAGGGGGTGGCAGCGCAAGTGTGCGTTTACTTAAGCCGCCCAAAGAGGTGAAATGAAAATCACGCTGATCATTTTGATTATAGAGAATAAAAAAAAAAAAAGAAAAAAAAAAAATATGTAACTACGTATAACTGCTTTTACATTATAAACTTTTGGCCGAGTAGAATTTAATGTTAACCGACCTTAGCTACCATGTACTCTGATTATTCGTATAAAGAAAAGATAAGAAAAAGATAAAAAAAAAAGAAAAGAAAAGAAAAGAAAGAATGATTTGTACACTCAAATCTAACTCGGCCAATAAATCCTAACAGAATATACAGTCCTGTCGTAAAGAAGGCTTTAAAGTAAATACTTAGCGATTTATAAAACTGATTGATATTTAAAGGTATATATATATATATAATATGTATAAATTGAGGTGAGTCTCTAAGAAAGGGAGCTTTGAATAGTGCCTGCTTAAAAAAATCCAGTTTACTATATCTGATATGGTTAGATATGGTATTCACATTACGAAATAACCGACAGATTAAATAGAAAGCTATTCGTAGCAAAGTATGGGAAAAAGTGTCATTTATGCGAATAATTTTATTGTTTTTAAATCATAACATAAAACAATGCACAACGAAATACATAAATATAATCGCTAATTAATATTAATATATGTTAATTCAAAATGGCAGCGTAATTCATTAATATATATATATAGGTCATGTATAAATTGATTTATAGATAATATACGTTAGTTTTAAATTATTTGAAAATAAGTTTTTTTTACCTTCAAGTCAAAACTATAAATGCAAATTGACAAGAAACATGAGAAAAATGATTGAAACTTTAATTATTTTGTTTTCTTCCATAGCTTTTATCAGCAAAAACCACTCTTCCCCATACTGTACTATGAGAGTTCGTGTTATTCGACACCCTTAAGTGTACATATAAAACATATGTGGCCGTAATTGTATGTAAATACTGTTACACATTCTATGATTACCATGAAATATGAATACAAGGAAAATTGGTTATTTAGTATAATTATGACTACGAAATTGAACTTACTTTTATCTCAGAATCCTCCACTTGCAAAATGGTATCCACAATTGCAGCACCTACCACTACCTGTATTGAATAACAAAACAAACAAATAATGATCCTTATAATTATTAGGATTAACAACAATTCGTGTATTTGTACAAAATAATAAGTAATTATTCATTTTATGGTGTATATATTAGATATACAAAGAAAAATATTGGACATATAAATATGAGTGATATGATGATTAAGATGTAAGTGTATATTTAAAACTTACAGGACTTTTTTTAAATGCTGGTAAGTGTTTGGAATGTTGAGATAAGGTAGAAGCTTGTTGAATTTCTTCACAAAGATATTTTGCTATTTCTGCTGCAACTTTAGCATTATTTTCTATAAGTGCAATATCTGCAATTGTAAATCTTCAATGAAATCTTTAACATTATATTACATTGCACAATCTTATAATTATTATTATTATTATTATTATTATTATTAAGCTACATTCTATCATATATATGTATATACTTACTAGTCTTAAGAAACTTGCCACTTGTCATTTCATTAAGTTCTTTCAATAATAATGGTGTAACATATTTTCCTTTGATATGCATACGTTTAGCCTTTTCTAATGCTTTACTTATTTCTATTTCTACTTCATTAGGATTCAATGCATGCTCATTAGGAACAGAAACAGTTAACAATATGCCTGTAGAAAGATTTAATTCTCTTTGTATTCTTATAAGATCTGCTGCATCTTTAGAATCTTTTACTTTAAATGGAGCTTTTAATTGATCATATGTTTCAGCACAATAGAAAGCTGGGAAATTATAATTATTGCCAATATTTACAACAGGTACTCCTTGAGTTTCCTAATGAAACAATATAATAATATTTTAATCAACTGACAAATAATGTAAACAAATATATATATATATATATATATATATATATATATATATATATATTTAAATAATACTTACTAGATATTCTAACGTTTTACCAATATCCAAAATAGATTTAACACCGGAACAAACAACAGCAATGGGTGTACGACCAAGTTCAATTAAATCTGTACTTATATCGAAGGTAGTTTCTGCTTCTCTGTGAACACCACCTATACCACCTGTGGCCATAATCGGTATGCCTGCTAAATTTGCTATTAACATTGTAGCACTAACTGTAGTCCCACCATTCAACTTTTGCAATACGACAGAAGATAGATCTCTTGCTGAACATTTAACTGTATTTTCAGGATTACTTTTAGATAATATTTTTAATTGTTCATGATCAAGACCAACGTGTATAATTCCATCAATGATTCCTATTGTAGCAGGTATTGCTCCCTAAAAAGAAAAACAAGATTAATAATTAAAATATAATCATATCATTGAAAATTAATTACAATCAAAGCATGACAATGTAACACTCAACAATAATTGCAACAATTTAAACATTTATATTTATGATATATTTTACAAACAATTTGATTATATTTTTATAGATGTCGCGTGTGATATAATTAAAAGAAAAGAAACAAAATGGAAAATATATATATATATATACGAACACACACACAGAGAGACATATATACACACTTGTTTTTTCACAGCATCTTCAACTTTGAGAGCAGTTTGAAAGTTTTCAGGAAAAGGCATCCCATGGGTTATAATCGTGGATTCCAATGCAACTATCGGTTGAGAATGATTTTTCCCATCAATAACATCCTTCCCATAAATAATATGTTTCCATTGATTGCTTAATGATCGAGAAGGTGAATCAATATTTCTCAACTTTTTCCAAAATTTCATAGAATATATAAGACGCATGACGATTGTTATTTCAATTCAAACAACAACACTTGTGTAATTGACACGTTTTCAACTTAAATTGCAATGATGAACATGAAAGAAAAAAAAAACACAAAATGTTGATATCTTCTTCTGTTTCTTCTTTTTTCTTTTTTTATATATATATATAACGATTAATATTATATTACAAAAAATATGATAGAGATATCAATGATTGATCATAAATAAATAACAATATTTATAAATATTTTTAATTAATGTTTCATATATATAAATACTTATCTACATAAATATATCTATATATATATTTATATTTAACTATATAACTATATAAATATACTATACTATATAAATATATAATTTATATAAATATAGTTATATAGTATAATATAAATAATATACCATATAGTATGCTATATACTATAGTTATATAGTATAGTATAAATAATATACTATACTATATATATATATGTGTGTGTGTATTATGGAAGATATGAATATGCATCGTACAATAAAAACAAAAAACACACACAGAAACAAAAGAAAATTTTAGAATAAAATTATAAAAATATTTGAAATATTTATTACGCATGAACAAACGTTTAATAATATTGAAATATATATATATATATATATATATAGTATTGATTGATTAATATGTTTAAGTATTTTATTAAAAAAGAAAACAATTGTCATTACGAATATACATTGATATGTGTGTGATATAATATATGCATATATTTACTTGTAAATATATAAAATAATAATGAATATTTTCTAATATTTAACTTTGTCCAAAAACAAACAATACTATGATTTCTCTCTTGTTTATACATAGATTTAACATTATCGTGTTGTTTGAAAGGCCACCATGCCAGTGACATCACTCACATCACATTTCCATATGCAAAGTATATAGTTATCAAAGCTTAGTAAATATAGAACTAGGAGAGAAAAAAAATTTGTTTTTTTTTGTTTTTCATAATAATTATTAATTATAACAAAAAAAAAAAAAAAAAAAAAG